TTAATTTTGCACCTCTTTGCATTTTTTGTGCAATTGTTCACTGTTCTAGTGTGGCTGGTATCTCAGCCAAAGAGTGAATTTTGGTAGAACCGAGCTGTTCATGTAGGGTTGATAAGGTGAAATTATAAATAAAAGGATTTCTCCTCTTCATTCATGAGAGGATACATTTGGATTGAATGTCCTCTTTGTTAACGATAAAGTTGCAGTAAGTGCTTGTTTTTATATCTTGGATTTGAGGTTGGGGATGTTTAATTCATTGCCCTTCCGTCCGTTAAACTGAATTTAAAAATTGATGGTGAAATGTTATTTTGAATATTTTTCCTTAAAATTGAAGCAACTGTGTAAAATTTTATTGGAACGAACCACTTTATTTTGGTAATTGTTTCGGTTGTTTTTATATTATGTAATTGTAATTTAATTGTTATAATTATTGCTAATAATAAGAAAATAATCGTTCATCGCTCCTGAGGACGTAGATATTTTGTCGAACATCGTTAACTTTTGTGTTCTTTATTTTCTTTGTTATTTATTTATTTCATGTGTTACTTAGCCTGATTTTTCAACAATTGATATCAAAAGCGTGATGAGATGACTATGTCAAATGCAAAATTCGAAGTTGTGAAATTTAATGGTCATGACAACTTTGGATTATGGCAAACGAGAGTAAATGATTTGTTGGCACAACAAGAGATTTTGAAAACTCTACGATCTCGATGAAAGAGGAAGATTGGGAAGGACTGCAACAGGGAGCGGCATGAACCATACAGTTATGTTTGGCAAACGAAGTTATATATCACGTAATAAGTCTATCATTTCTAGGAGAAATATGAAAGAAATTAGAAAGTCAATTTATGTCCAAATCCCTAACTAATAAACTGTATCTAAAGCAGATGTTGTATGGGTTGAAGATGCAGGAAGGTCATGATTTGGCGTATCATGTGAATGTCTTCGATCAAATAATTACAGATTTGACTCACCTTGATATGAAGATTGAGGATGAAGACCGAGTAATGATTATGTTGTGTTCATTGTCTTTCTCTTACGAAATATGGTGACTACTTTTACATATGGAAAAGAAACAATCAAAGTTGAAGAGATTATTGCAACCTTGTTGGCTCACAACCAGTGGAAGCATAATGCAAGGGAAATCTCACATGCTGATAGTTTATATATTAAGGGTAATCAAGACCGCGGAAGAAAGTCAAAGAATAAGGGCTGAAGATAAAATTTCAGATCAAAGTCTAGGGACAAAAAGATAATTTATTGCTACAAGTGCAAGGAGCCGTGACATATGAAGAGAGACTGTCCAAAGTGGAAAACACATACTATTGAGAAACATGATGAATCATCCAGGTCTATGAATGTGGTGCAGGATGACAATTTAGATTATAATGATGATGATATGCTTTCTATTTCAACAACTCAGTTGACAGATGCATGGATTCTTGATTCAGGATGCTCTTATTATATAACGCCTAACAAAGAGTGGTTTTCGACATACATGTCAGTTAATTATGGTTCTGTCTATTTAAGTGATGAAAGATGTTGCAATATTGTTTGTATTGGTGAAGTCAGAATTAAGATGTATGATAGTATTGTTGACAAATGCATGGATTCTTGATTCAAGATGCTCTTATCATATAACACCTAACATGGAGTGGTTTTCGACATACAAGTCAGTTAATTTTAGTTCTGTCTATTTAAGTGACGACATATGTTGCAATATTGTTGGTATTGGTGAAGTCAAAATTAAGATGTATGATGGTATTGTTAGGACATTCTGTGATAGGCATATACCAGATTTGAAAAGAATCTAATTTCCTTAGGCACTTTGTATAAAAATGATTTTATTCCTAAGACAGATGAGAATAGAGAAACTATTAGAATTGTTAAAGGTGCATTGATTGCGATAAAAGGAAAAATGACTATAAGGAATATCTATAAAACTGTTGGGGAGTACAGTTGTAGGTGAAGTTCATTTTGTTAAGTCATATGATGATAATAGAAAACTATGACATATTTCTCTTGCTCATCTTAGTGAACGTGGAATGGCTGAATTGCATAAAAGAAATTTATTGCATGGTGTTAAAAGTTGCAAGCTCGTTTTTTGCAAGTTTTGTGTTCTTGTTAGTTTCATGATTGGAAAGCAAAAAACTGAAGGGATTATTGATTATGTGCATTATGATGTATAGAGGCCTACCAAAAAATCATCATTGGGTGGATTTATGTATTATGTTACTTTTATTGATGATTTTTCTAGGAAAGTTTGGGTGCATTTCTTGAAATAGAAATCTGAAGTTTTTGCCAAGTTCAAGTTGTGGAAAGCTGAGGTAGAGAACCAAAATGGTAGAAAGATTAAGTATTTGAGGACTGATAATGACACAGAGTACACTGATTCACAATTTCTGAAATTCTGTGAGGAGCATTGGATTCAGAGGCATTTTACAGTGAGTAAGACACCACAACAAAATGATGTTGCAGAAAGGATGAACACGTCATTGAATGAAATATGCTTGAGACTGAATAAATGGCTTCCTAAAAGCTTATGGGCAGAGGCTTTGAGCATGGCATGCTACCTCATTAACAGATCACCAATGGCATCATGGGTGGCAAGGTTGCAAAAGAGGTATGGACAGGTATTCCAGTTGATTTTGGTCACTTATGAATTTTTGGTTGTCCTGCTTATGTGCATGTACCTGGTGATAAGAGACCAAAATTTAATGCAAAGTCGAAGAAGTGCATCTTTTAGAGCTACAAAAAAAGTGTCAAAAGATACAAGTTTTGGGATCCGATTGCAAAGAAAGTGGTGATCAGTAGAGATGTAGTCTTTGATGAGCATTTCATGTTGTAGCAGAACCAAGATAAGACACTGATGGATTTAGAATAATATCCAATATCAGTTGAGAAAGAGGAAAGTTCAAATCCAACTTCAGGTGATTCTAATACAATTGATTTGCAGGAATATAATTTAGCCAGAGACAGAGAGAGATGCGCGGATATAAAGGCTCCAAACAGATTAGTTTTTGAAGATATATTCTCATTTTCACTTCACATTAGTGATGAAAGGGAAATGGATGGTTACAATAGTTGGGGAGATTGAGTCTTTGCAGAAAAATCATACAAGGGAGCTGGTTTGACTTCCTAAGGGAAAAAACTATTGGTTGCAAATGGGTGTATAAAAGAAAACCAACAGTATCAGAAAAAGAGAGGGAAAGTTCAAGGCTCGATTGGTAGCAAATGATTTTTAATAGTAAAATAAAGTAGATTATGATGAAATTTTTTCTCCTATGGTTAGACATACTTCAATCAGGGCAATACTTGCATTGGTAGTTAGTTGGGATTTTCATTTAGAGCAGAAGGATGTTAAAACTGCATTTTTGCATGGTGTTTTAAAGGACCATATTTATATGCAGCAGCCAGAAGGGTTCACTCAACCTAGACATGAGCATTTGGTATGCAGGTTGAAGAAATACTTATATGGGTTGAAATAGTCTCCAAGACAATGGTATAAACGATTCAACTCTTATATGATTAAGATTGGCTACAACCGATGTGAGTATGATTGTTGCGTTTATGTTAAGAGCCTTGATAATGGTTCTTTTATTTTTCTATTATTGTATGTTGATTGCTGCAAAGAATATGCATGATGTTATTGGTTTGAAAGCTTTATTGAGCTAGTAATTTGATATGAAAGACTTAGGTACTGCAAAGAAAATTCATGGAATGGAGATTCACGAGGATAGATGCTCAAGGACACTGTGGTTATCTCAGTGGGGCTATGTTGAGAAAGTGTTAGACAGGCTTACGATGAGCAATGCAAAGCTAGTAAGCACTCCATTGGAAAATCATTTTAAGTTTTCTTCATAACAATGTCCTAACATAAATAAGGAAGTTGTAGACATGGCAAAGGTTTCGTATGCCATTGTTGTTGGTTTCTTGATGTATGCAATGGTATGTACTCGTCTTGATTTAGCTTATGCTATTAGTCAAGTTTGTAAATACATGTCTAAACCAGGTAGGCGACATTGGGAAGCAGTCAAGTAGATTTTCAAGTATTTGAAGGGAACTATAGGGAATGGAATTGTTTTTAGTAATCAGCAAGATAATCTTTTGGTTATAGGATATGTGGATTCAAACTATGTATGTGATTTGGATGATAGAAGATCTACAACTAGGTATGTTTTTACTCTTAGTGGAGAGCTTATATATTCGAAGTCAACTGTCTAGTATATTGTGGAATTATCTACAACTGAAGTTGAATACATGGCAGCAGCTGAAGCTGCAAAAGAAGCTTTATGAATTACTGGGCCAGTGAAGGAATTGGGTGTACAACAAGGTGGAGTTCTGTTGTAATGTGCCAACTAAAGTGCTATTCATTTGGCTAAGAATCAGGTGTATCATACTAGAACTAAGCATATTGATGTTAGGGTTCATAAGATAAGAGAGTTGATTGCATCTGGAGAGATATTGTTATAGAAGGTTGATACTAGTGAGAATACATTTGATATGTTGACCAAGCCAATTATTACTGACAAGTTCATGTATTGCTTGGACTTGTTGAATATTTACAGTTGATAGAGAAACATGGTTGCCAAACCCACTTTGATGTTTGATAAACTCTCGGTTTTCTATTTCGTTTCCTAAGGGGCAAGATATTCACCAAGGTGAAGATTTGTTAAAATATTCACTCACTGCGCTCCAGCATCTCCATTGGGGAAGTTTCGTTATAGTATGTGTGGGCTAGGATATTCGTCCCTACGGTACGGTACGGGGTTATTTTGGTAATTATATCGGGCTTGCTTTTTATATTATGTAATTGTAACATGATTGTTATTTATTATTGCTAATAATAAAAAAACAACCGTTCATCGCTCCCGATGACGTAGGCACCTTGTCGAATCTCGTTAAATCTTGTGTTCTTTATTTTCTTTACTGTTCGTTTATTTCTTGTGCTACTTAACCTGATTTTCCAACAAACCTAAAAGATAACATATTAGATTCTAATAAATTGCATAGTGAATCTTATATTTTCTCATAATATCATCTTCGTCATAATCTATTGTTGTTGAATTTGAGTCGCTACCGGTGTATGAATGTACATTAGCCGATGAAACCATGTACTGAAATGGGTTGCGAGGTGTATCTGCTTCATCTCCACCTTCTAGTAATATCTTCACAACATTCCTCATCGAAGGCTTAGCCTCCGACAAGTATTGCACGCACCATAAAGCCACAATTAACATTATCTTGGCTTTTTCCCTATCATTATCTTCAATTTCGCATTTGTCCCAAAGCTCCTCCAATTCTCCCTTTTTAAAACTTTCCCATACTGGTTTCGGAAACCAATCTTGCCTCTCAACTAGAAAGTTCCTCCTCATTTTGACAATCTTGAACATCATTGCTCCGAAACTATACACATCATATTTGTAATTTACTGAAAACGGCATCCAAATCTCCAGGGTGGCGTAACCGGGAGTTGTTCGCGTGTTGTGAGTACTATAAAATATACGCAAATAATGTGCAAGTATACACAATCGCTCAAGTAATAAAGTGATGAGTGAGTATCGTCTCCACAGGGATTAGAAGGATATTGAGTAAAGTTTATGCACTATTCTATCTAAGTATAGTTAGTCTTGATATATACAAATGTCACGACAATGGATATGTGTATGCTGGTGAATGTGGATTGATGGTGTGATGGTGTAGCAAATGGAAATGCAGTGGAAAGAATAGATGTTTAGTGTTGAAAATGATGAAATGTCAAGAAAATGAAAAATGGTAAAAACAGTAAATAAAAGATAAATAAAATGAAAAGAAGATAATCCTCACGTGACAAGCTTTCAATGGAATGAATGGTAGGGATTGATCTAAGAATGCTAAACTTATATCTCAGGCAGATGTAAGTTATCTGGTCTTTACTTACTCGACAGGGCTTTCCTAAAATGTTCTCACATGAACCTAAAAGAATAGCATACCAAGGCATCTGCTCTCACTCAACGATGTTGGACAACCTACCCTATTGATAAAGACACCCTTTTTAGTCGTTGAAATCCTATCCTAGTCTCTTCCGAGATCTAAGGGATTAGGTTATAATATTCCTAGTCCGGTTCAAAGCCCCTTGAAAATACTATAACCCATTGCTTATAAGGATCTTGCCTTGCGTTTCTTCCGAATACTTACAAGTATTTTTAGCTTAGGATTCTTCCGAACACCTAACCTTCATCTAAGAAATGGACATTTCCATGCCTCTTACAAGCCTAGATGGTGAAGCATTCACAAGCAAAGCAAATAAAGAACCAAAATAAACTTAAATATACCATTAAAATAAAGTTAAAACATCCATTAAACCAACACCACCAAATAAGTTAGTTCATGGTGGGGTTCAAAATATCCATAGAAAAATCCACAAAATATTCGTTCCAACAACCCACAAATAAAATAAATAAAATAACAGCAAAGGGAAGTGAGAAAGAGCCTTCGACGAGCGACACCAGAGGTCTCCTCGGCCACCACGAACCACCTTAGCTCGCTAGCTCCTTTCGGCGCCTAGCTCACCACTCATTGAAGCTTTATCAATGGAGGAAAACCCAAGGAAGAAGAAAGGAAAAGGGAAAATAAAAATCTGATTTTTCTGCTACAGTATGCATCTTCTTTCTTCCACCCACTCTCTTTCTTGTGAGGTGTAATATATAAAAAATATCTAGGGGTAATGATGAGGTTGTTGGGATATTGTTGGGTGCAAAATGCCCCTCATACCCCTAGAATCACATGTTGTGCATACACCTTATCCTCCAGGTGTCAGTGGTCCCCTAGCAGGCTGTTACAGCCATCATTTCACGTGCAGAGCCAGCTGTCCACATACAGCTGTATATTTTTGTCGTTTTCTGTGCCAAAAATGCCAAGGCATTTCAATCTGCTTCAGCAACGTGTGATGCCGCGTCATTACTTCCCAGCTCGCCTATTTTGCTTGTTATTTCCTGCACATACTAAAAACCACACATTCCTCTTCATATAGCACCTTAATAAAATAAAATAACATAACCACCAAAAATGCAATTATATACAGCTACATACATCTAAAATGACCTATATGTACCCTTAAACAAACAATAACTTAAGTTAAAAAGGCCTTAAAAATAATATTTTTACGGAGTTATCACACCCCAAACTTAAACTATTGCTTGTCCTCAAGCAATGGATAACAATTAACACAATCAAAATGTCATGGCAATTTCAACAGTAGGACAACAAGACAATAATTGAATTTCAACCCTCAGAATAATTGGCTTCAACATGCTAGACATATCAAGAATTCAAGTACTTTTCCCTAGGTTAAGATCCTTTATGGTTGTGTGTGCGCGTGATTGTATCTAATCTATACTTAACGAATTTAGGCAATTTCTAATTGAGTTCCCTAGTTTCGCCACAACATTTACTCATTCATTAAGCACATTTATACTCCCTTTTCATTTAGTGCACATTTTTTTTCCACTTTTTCACTTTTTTACACTGCTACGAAGGGAGTCAGCTCATCACACCTATCATCCCACACTCTAGGTGAAAGGGAGCATACCTTCCACCCCCAAGCTAGTCAGACAGAGTCATCCCGTGACTACTTTCATTCACTCGTATGCGCGTGGCTGCCATTTATTAAAGAGAGTTCCAGGCAATGCCACGACAAAGAGGAGTGTCCCTCTACAGCTATGCCGAAGCATTTATTCACGATTAAATAAAATTCAGAGATAAGGGAGTTTTTTTTAAATGATTTGTCATTTAAGCATAATACCATATTTTAATGCCAAGGCTAACCAGAGTTCTTTCATAAAAATTTTGTAAGTTCATTAAGTATAGAGAACATACAAATCATGTAATAATAATTCACAAAGCATCAAGCCCTAGAGTCAGTTCTATCATTCTCAATAGTCATTTACATTCAATTTCTAGCCTAAAAAGTTCATCTTCATCGGGTATCATCAAAACATTTCCATCTAACTGTCCTACCATTTACTGATGCCATGGCATAACATTATGCTAATATTATCATGCACATGTTCTACAAAGAACACTACCTCCCCCAAACTTGAGAGAAGCATTGTCCTCAATGCTGAATAAAAACTAAGTTAAACTAGACTACATGCTATGTGATGCGATGCAATTCCATGCTATGTGATGCGATGCAATTCCATGCAAGGTACCTTGTCTTCCTAAGATGGTGGTGGAGTCACACTGACAGTGCTAGTAGTATTGTGTCTGGTGCACTTCCTCAGTGATGTGGGGCTTTTGTCAGGATCAGAACTGGGTTCAGCAGGTGGTGTGCTAGGGCCTTCAGTATTCTTATATGTTGAGGTCTCCATATGCCCAACAGATAACTTCAGACGTCATCTAGTCCATGCTGACTGGGTTAGCATCCTCTGGCTTGGGTGTACTATCTTGCTGAGTGACATTTGTAAATGTCGTGGCATCCTAAAATGATGGCAAGATCTTGTCCAGGATGACTAGAAGATTATAAGCCCAATGTGGGAGCATCTCCTTGTGAACAGGTGCCACGACTGCGTCTTGTTAGAGCCTCAATTGCATCTAGCTTTGTCGTGGCATATTGGTTTGCAGCAGCCTGTGAAGTTCCCTCGTGAGATTTCATCATATTCATCCTTCAAAACACCCTTTGTCCTAAAAAAATAATATTAAAATTAAAACTAAAAAAATAAAACAAATAAAAATAAACAAACAAACACTCACGGCAAAATAAAACTTATAAAACATAAATTAAAAAGGGTTTTGGGGGTGTGATAACTCCAAAACATCATGAATTGTCATGGCATTTTTGTCGCGTTCGATTAGAGCACCAGTATAGACCAAAATGATCCACATATATAACAGCGCCACCTTCAGTGTAAGTCTATAGAACCCGATTTGTAGGACCTTTGCAGTAGTCCTCTTTTTTCTCTCCCCGTTGCAGTGGCATCTTTTAATTGCTTGGGCATCAAAGTCTTTCAAGAAGTAGGGGTCATCATCCTGCATCAATCTGTTCTTGCCCTGGCTATTCAAGTATGGAAGCAAAACACCACTAACGAGAAAATTGACAATGTCAGCGTACCACGACAATGCCGTGGAAAATAATAATTTCTCATCAGGGAATTGTTTCTCCATTTTATTCCTTAGTTCTTTCACAATTTCTAGCCTAGAAAAATGGGCAACTAATTGGGGTTGAGTAAATTCAATGAAATCCTCAGGTTCAGATTTCGTACCTGGTCTAGCTATAAGTAAGCTAGACTGACCCGCCTCTTTTGAAATATCCTTAAGCTCATCTTTGTCTTCTTCATCGAGCTTCAAGTACTCACAAGTTCCTACAAAATTGTCGTGGCATAATTCTGCTGCTTCCCTTTGGTCATCAACTTCTGCTAGTGGGGGTTTTTCTTTTGCCGTGGCATTATTTTGCCTGCCATCATTGGGTTTACTCATTGAACCTTCAACTTTGTTCTCCAGCGAATGTAAGTCCTCTTGCAATTGAGACTCTTCATGCACAATCTCATAGCTAGGTTCTTCGAGTGTTTCCCCCCCAAACTTAGCATCTTTGTAGATCTGGGTGCCACTTCCTGAGGTGAATGTACTAAATGGCTCACTGCCTTTAGCCTTAATGACTTCAGTATCACTAGGCAATCTGTCTAGTTGGTATTCTTGTAATGCCGTGGCAATTTGATCCACTTGCATTTCCAAAGCTCTCAAAGACAAATTATGACTTTGCAACCATGCCCCTTGACTTTGTAATAATTTTTCTTGACACTTAATAGATGCATCGTGATCTTGTAATAGAGCATTTGTAGTTGCCATAAAGTCTTGCATAGTGGCCTCTAGAGAACTTGTATTAAGTGAAAATGTTGTCCCATTATTATGCCATGGCATATTCGTTTGAAAGGCTGGGGGCTCATCTATATACTGCTACTGAGCGAGATGACTGACATTACAAGCTCCTTGATTTTCCCATGAGAAATTGGGATGCTGACTCCATCCATTGAAGCTTCCCACATAGTTGATGGACTTTTGATTGTTCGGGCATTCACATTCATGGTGATTGCCTTGGCATAACAGACATGCCGAGCTATCAACCTTCACTTCTTTCACCTCATTAGAATTTTGCAAATTCTTCAACATATTGGTGATGGTAGAGAGTTGGGCCGACACTGAATCTTCAGCTTCCAACTTGAATGTCCCAGATGCCTTCCTTTTAGTTTCAAACCTTGAAGATGGAAATTGGTAATCATGGTTAGCGATTCGATCAAGAATGCCAAAAGCCTCTTCAGGTGATTTGTCAAGCAAAGTGCCATTTGTCCAGGCATCTAGCATCATCCTCGTGGGTGCATTGACTCCATTGTAGAACATCACGACTTGAGTCCAGTCGTGGAATCCATGGTTGGTACATTTACGAAGCAATTTTTTGTAGCGATCCCAA